CCGCAAAATGGGTGGAAATTTTTCGTATGCGTTCAGAATACAGGCAGGAATTTATAATTAAATTTTAAAGATTATCGTAAGAAAATTTTTTTTTGGGAACGTCCTTAAGATCTTCTACTGTTCTTGTTAAATTTTTAAGGTTCCTTATTGAAACGATTGTTATTTAATGTTTAATTTTAAGTGCTGATGACTTAATGACAAAGCTTGTTTTAACTGCTTAAATAGAATCTATAAGCTAGTACTACAGTGTATATGAATATGTTTAACTTATTTAGTTATTCTATTTAATGTGTCTGTTGTTATTATCAAGTCTTGGTGGGTGTTAAAAAATATGTTAAGTTTAAATAGTTTGGTGGTTGTTTTTTCAAACCCACCCTGTTTTTGTTATTATCAACATGCACAATGTATATTGTACGTACTTATTCATAATAGTGAAATTCAACTGAAACGGAAGTGCGTTTACTAGTCGCGACTTACTAGTTTAAAATTTATATCTATTCATCTTATTTATTATTTGCTTTCCATAAAATTTCAAGTATGTACATACCTAATTAGAGAGATTGCTTATTTTTTTTTGTTTCTCAATAATTTCGTTTTGTTGATTAGATTGTATCTCATGGAATTCTTCCGTCATGATAAAGACAGACAGACTTATCGCCATACAACACGATACCCTTGAGCGTTTATAAACCGATAACATACACCACTCGCCTATCTGTAGATTACATTATGTACAATTATTTAGAGAGGTCGAAATGTTTCCGATAAGAGATTGTATTATATTTTAAAATAAACATGAGTCAAGTAACGCTGGATAACAACGAATTTTATTAACCATCCTATTAATGCTTTAATGCAGCTCAATAGATGTTACGTTAGGCAAAATCAAATAATTGTGTCGTCGTGTGCGTTAGTATTTCTAGATCTGCTTTTTATTGGCACACTTCTGTATTGTTTTGTCGATGTGCGCATATGCTGGCAATGATACGAATTGAAGCTACTTAGAAACGACCATGCTCGTTACAACGTATCGACAAAATATTATTTGCGAGCGTTAGTGTTAACTATAAAAAATGAAGACTCAGACATTATGCTTCATCCTTTTTATAATTAGTCAAATTGAATGTTATAAAATTCTTGTGCTCTTCGTTCATCCTGGGAAAAGTCACTTTCTAGCATTTGAACCGCTTTTCAAAGCCCTTGCGGAAAAGCAGCACGAGATTACCGTTGTTAGTTATTTTCCTCAGAAAGAGACGATTGCGAACTATACGGATATTTCGCCTAAATCGAAAGTCTTTACTTATACGGAAGAAATTGTACTGGGAAATTACGACGGAAGTTGGATTTCAACAATTAAAAGTGCACTTGTTCTTGCCGAATTTTCGAAGATATCGTGCAAAGAACATTTTTCCACAAAGGAAGTACAAAATTTAATAAAAAGTGATGTTAAATTTGACGTTGTAATATACGAAATATTTGCTTCTGATTGTTTACTGGGATTTGCTCACAAGTTCAAAGCTCCTTTAATAGGAGTAAGTACACCTGGAACAGTGATGCCATGGGCCTACGATAGAGTCGGAAATCCATCTAATCCATCATTCATCCTTAATCAATTTTACAATCACTATGGACCCTTCGATTTCTCTGAGAGGTTGTACAATACCATTTTGGATGTTTATACTCGTACCATTTACAGACTGTTAACAGTGCCATTTGATAACGAAATAATACGAAAACATTTCGGCAATGATGTGCCTGATGTCCAAGAAATCGTCATGAATACGTCGATGATTCTGTTAAATTCCCATTTTAGCCTTAGTCAGCCTTTTCCACAAGTTCCGGCTATTGTGGAAGTATGTGGGGTTCACATTCAAAACCCTAAACAACTATCCCAGGTAAGCATGTACTTCGCTAATATTAAATCAACTACTTTTCACTTCATACTTATCAGATTTACGATGCTATCAGAACATAATTTTAAATACAAATTTATTGCGCCGTAATATTTTTTAAAAATTTGTTTCGCAAAAGAAAGGATATAATTTCTCTGTGCAATGAGCGAACTTCGGTATTTTCAGTTGTCAAACACAAAACATAAATTAAATCTCCTTGCCTATGCGATGTACATTAGGACAACTATGTAGTTATTACTATGTTACCATGTTTAGTCTTTTCGCATTCTAACTGAAACCTAGTCTTCAAGATACGAAAATTGTGAGCAATCCAATAAACATACAAATTATAAACAGAAGAACTAATTGTTGATATCGGTGACAGAAGAAAGAAAGTGAATGTGAAAACGAACTACACAACAAACAAAAGCATTAGGTTTATTTTTTTTATAAGTTGTTTCTATAAATGTAGCATCGTACTACAGATGGCGTTTACTCCGCCATTTGTAGTATTTTCTAAAACGCACTGTTAAGACAGCAAGTAAAAGTTGATCTGTGTTCTGTCGGAACTGCCTGCGACGCGCTGATGAGATCCAGAAAGATCGAAATCGCGATCCGCGTCTGGCAGTTTCGACAGAATACAGACCACTTCGAATTATTTTATTTATTTCTATATTATTTCCTAGTACGCTACTGTCCCATCTGTATTAATACAATAGTTTACGCCTATACCCAAGTAGGACATAAATGGGTAACTACCTGAGCGACTGCTCGCCAACGTCGTTCGTCCGACCTGTACCATCCCAATGATAAATTCAGGTGTACCCACCTGTGAGGCTACCCACTCGAGCCCGATCACGTCATTCGGGTAGCCCGTAACACCCCTTTCATGACGGGTAACCCACGTGAATGAATCACGGATCTTGCCGGACAACAATGCACGCATGTCATGCATGCGTTTTTCCCAAATAACAAAATACATATTATTCACATAATCTCTCGAGAGTTCTATAATTTTCACTAATAATTGACTTTCGTTCCTTTACGTTCTACGTCTTACTTAATTCTTACACATAGGCTTTATTTGTCCTTTCATGTCGGCCCACCCAAATATCAACAATGCTATCTCGCCAACAATACCTTTCTCACTTGCTCAAATAATCACTACACACATGTCACACATCAACAATTTTTAAAAGAAATACATTTTCTTGAAAGAGTATCAAAGAAAATAAAAATTATATAAACTTAATTCTAAAGCGGTTTAGGTATTTAACAAGTATACATATATTGATATCTTTTATAAATATGTATTCTTAATTGTTATAGTCCAGCCACGTAGTTTACCTATAATATTGTCGTTATTCTTTTGGTTTTAATTTTTATCATTAGACCCTAGTGTTGTCTATAATAGCTTTGCAGTAGTTAATTTTAATTGTGTGTGAATAAACATTTTAAAAATCAGGACCATATCACATGCTGATTCTTAATGCTTAAGTAGTTCGTCTGTACTTTTACGTCGTAAATTATCAGTGGGAGACTCATTCTCGGAATCAGCGAACTCCTTATCATCAGTAAGTGTCGAATTATCAAGTACAATTACTTCATCATTATCAATGTCTGTGATCGACACTTCACGACTCTTTCTTTCAGTTTTTGAAATTCCGATATATCGGCATGTGAAATAACATAATTTTTACCGGTATCACCATTATCTTAGAGTAGATGATGTTCTCCAATATAAGATTGTTTCCTGTTAGATTTTTACTTAGAGATAAGTCTGATCCCAAAACTACCATTTTTAACAAGTATAGGTACTTTATGTACTACTGATCTCTATGTAATGACAGTTTTTATCATAGTAATCTACCACAATTGTTTTTCATATTCTCATAAACAGAGACATTTTTTCGAATTTTTGGAGCAACGGATCAACTGTTTAGTCAATATTTCTTCCGAAGGAATAAAACCCAATTTTCGATAACTTTCCTTTCAAATATGTATTTGACGCGTATGAAAAAGCGTATAAATTGTTGGCGTTTGGGGAAGTTCCTTTTAATTACATATGTTTTATTCAGAACTTTATGTGTTAATGTTACCTTAACTTAACTAAATTTGCTCTTTAAATGTTGAAATGATCCAGTTCACTGACTGCCCCTCTCCATCGGTTAATATGCTCAATCTAACAATATCACCACCGCGGCAAGAATCCTCAACTAGAACAGATTTATCTGTGTATTTGCAAGTGCTGTCGATAAAAAGTATTTCTGAAAAATTTTCAAAACTGTTTTTATAGTTACTTATGAAAATAACCCTTTAAATATTTTTTCAGAATCTACCAGTAAATGCATTTGTCAATGATAAAACTAAGTATTTGTACCTAGATACAATATAAATTCTTCTAAATTATTATCTCTTGTTTTAATATTCGAGTTTATTTTCATTAAATTATAAAACATCCCTTAATTAATTGGTTTGACTAGTAGAATTTTGTAAATTAGAAAGTAATACCTAGTGTTTTATTTACTCAACGTGCTAATATATTTTTAGGTATTGAATTGGAAGTTTACTTATTTGAGATAAGTGCTTCAATTTTTAAATACGAAAACAAATGTTGACTTTCACCTCGTATACAATAAATGATTTCTGGTTTTCGTTTAAGCTTTTGATTTGCAAGCATTTTCCATTTTTAGTTAGCTTAAGATGGACGTATGTCACATCCTTATTTGAAAGAATTGTGAAGTGAAATAAAAGCTTCTCAAACATTGATCACCAAGGTATTGAATCAGGTCAGGCAAGATACCTTTATTTAAATTATTACTGAGTTATTTCCATCTCAATTTAACCAAGACGTTCGGCGAAAAGAAATATTTTGCTTTAGAAGTTTGTGACAGTTTTCTACATAACATTTGCTCCAAATCTATATTTTCCCTTTATAAAAAAATTTCTTTCTGCATCGATGTTAAATGTACCAGTTAACATTTCCTTGATAGGTATGAGATCTAATGTAAAAAGATGAAAATCCCGATGGCAGTTTCGATAAATTTCTTACCAAGAATTTAAGCGTTATTGTTAATGGTTACAACCTTTAAATAATGTATTTCACAAAAATTTTTGTCCTATTTTTAATTTTAACTTCTTATTTTTATTTTTACCGTAAAAAGTATCTGGACCAAAGCTTGAGAAAATTCAATTCTCTGAAACAGATTTTTTAAAACATTTTTTCTGAGACTTATGGTTTTCAAAGTAGCACGGGAAAACTGTTTACTTTTCTTTTTTTTCCAAGACGGAGGTTAAATAAAGGGGCTTTCCATTCCGAAGATCGAATTTTAAATTCATACTGACCTCCCACATATTATTTCAGTGAACTATTAGGTTTCCTAATAGAATTAATTTGCTGTTAATTTATATCAGTTACAGCTAGCTGTTGGAGTTACAAGAGCAAATACTTTTGGTTTGCAAACAAGAAGAATTATTCTATCTGTGATAAATTTGGAAATTTATCTCGAATCTAATTTCATACGTGACCTTCCTCCCCATTCACAATGCAAGGGCTGCTATTGTTTTCGTATTCAGTATAAATTCAGTTAATTTTCTGATAACTAACAAAACGAAAATTTGTGTTGCTGCAGACGTCCTGTAACATAAATATTAGCTACCACATTCTATATACCTCAGAAGTATAATAATATCCATCAAGCATTTGTTTGAAAGCAAAAGTATTCTTGCTATATTAAATTACTCCTTTCGGCAACGTATATATTTCGTAAAGGCAAATTACAACCATTTTTAATATATTGGTACCCACTTTACTTAATGAAACAGTCAATTAGGACCCCACCGAAGTACTCTGTTCGAGGGGGAGGGCGTAACCGATTAACCAACTATTATACCTTAATTTTCCAACTAGAGCTTTACACATACGCCCACGAAACATGCATTTATAGATAAAAAATCGGTTGTCTGTAAAGTCGGTTTACTGACGATAATTGAACGTGACAACGTCATAAGAAAATACTGATGGAATGGTTTCATTTTTCAAAAGAAAATTTTAATTTTATTCGTTTGATAGATATTATGTATGGATATAGAGAAGGAGGTAAATGGAAATGTATTATTGTATAGCAGCTGTCCACGCGGACGCATCGCTTACTCAAGTAGGAGAGAGACAGATGTCGAACGTTGCCGAATGCGGAGGCGCAGAGCGAGGTAACGCCGCATGAGTCATGTTTTTTCGTGCGTGCGGCCGGCTCCATCGAATTATAAGACATTGTCACGTCAAAAATAATTGTCAAACATTAATGTTTCATCAGCTGAATTTCATCTTACTACATATTACCTCAAGTAAGTGAGGGAATCGAATTCGACAAGCTTTCTTAATATAACAGGTTAATTTTACTAGTTAATTCGAATTCGCTTGTGTTTAAGTTTCGTCCATAAATTCGCCATATTATTTAGGTTAAAAGCATTGCGATAGTCTTTTTCGCTCATCATCATCATTGTGACTTCCAATCTCTCCTCTTTAATTCTTAATCTGCTCGAATTTTTAACTATTTTAAGTAAATTTTTTCGCTGTTCGAGGCTCACTATAAATGTTAGCTGATAAAGACCAAAATCTTCCCCAATAGCTATTTTACATTTAGCAGCTGCCTTCATGATGCCTTACATAGAAGACCATATATCAAATAATATCTCTAACTGCGTAATAAGCGCTTATGATTCAGGCATGTGATCAGCAGTATCAATTTTTCAGTATTTTCACTGATTACATTCTTTTTGTCTAAAGGGTTGGTGAGAAAGTTTGATATTGGATTCAAATGTTCTACAATCATTTTGAGTTTGTCTTGTAAAAAGTTTGTAATTGTACGTTAAACAGTTGTCAATTTTTTCCAAAAGCTTTCCGTTTCGGTGATCTCTTTGAAAATCCTGCTCTAGATTAATTTTAACTTTTTAGTAATAATTTTGGCGCTTTCTACTATGTAAGATTAGAATTACATCTTCCTGTTGCCTTATTGAAATAAGGGATTCTGTGGTCCTGTTAGTAATGTATATTGTGTCGGCAATGTTCAAGTTTTCCTTTCCTCTTGTTTAATATCATATTATATTATATATTTTAATACACATAGGAATACCGTTTTTACAAGACGCTTGCTTTTTATTAAAACAAAAGTGTTGGTATTTTTGCGTATTAGAACAGATTTACGAATTATCCTCTCATGCCACCATTGATGTATCAGCGTATGCAATAAAATACTTCTATATCTTACCGTGAGTTATTTGGCTTCATATACTGACCATAAGTCCAATTTCTTGACCTACAGTGATCCCCGAACTAAGAACCGATATTATTTTTATGGTCCCTATGCCCTTTTGTAATCTTGTTACAATCCGTATACAGGAATGCTCTTCGAATTTTAAGCAGTTTTACCTACAGGCGTTTTTAAACGAAATAATGAAGAAAGTCTATTTTTAACACATTTCCTTATTAATAACACAAGTTGAAAAAGTCAACTGAAGCAAATATTCGGGAGGAGTATCCCCCCCCCCCTTGGCTAGGGTCTGACAACCATATATCACTTTTAGTTAATAGTGCAAAGGTAGTCGTGTTTCGGTGATGCCGAATTCCCTCCCGCAGGTAGTTTTGGTTAAAATATAGATAGTCGATGTCCCTCCCGGGTATTAGCCGAGTTCCCTCCCGTTCATATCAGCTCCGATAATTAAGTTAACGACTGCTTACCGATTTTATTTATCGAAAATAAATTTGTGTATTAATTGTTCATTTTAAAAAACTTACCATGAGTGAAAGCGGCAACCTACTATTGCTGTATTTGGCCGTATATCGTTTATACTTTTGTGAATTGCCATTTCAAAGTTGGGAGGCAATTGATGTATGATTAGGAGGGAATTCGACATACCGAAAATTTTAGCCCTAATTAAAAACAGGTGTATGGGAGGGAACTAGGCATTATCTCCTTGTTTTACCGTTTGCTGTTAACTGTAAAACAAGAATAATAGGTTCAAGCAGATTGCTAGTTTGGATGAAGCATCCGTTCATCATATTGAGCTTGAGTCGAAGCAAGAGTTGATGCGGTAGCATAAAAATTGCGACCAGGGAGTTTAAGATTTACATGACAACGTGCTCGTGCCCATGTTGTAAAGGCTACTTTGTGTAACTACAGTTCCAAGTGCTGGTTCATCCGTTCTGCTGTCCAGATCTAGCATTTTTAACCATTTTGTTCTTGTAAACTTGAACAAACAGCTTCAGGGAAACATATTCACCGACAATGAAGAACTTGATTTTATAACTTCAGAATCTATACTTAAATAAAATATTTTTGTTCTTTATGAGTATACATAAATTTTGGAAAAATATATCATTAGATATGTCCAATGTTTTTAAAATTTGCTAATTTATGTTGAATGTTAAACTATCTCAATAAAATTAAACGTTTCTCATAAAACTGTATCTAATGCGTTCTTTCTTACAATACCTTAATCGTCAGTAATATATCGATTAAAAAGTACATGTGTTTTACACCTATTAATAATCGATCATGTATAGCATTCTAAAATCGTTGGTATCGCTTATAAAAAAAAGATAACATACAAAAAAAATCAATTTAGTGCCCTACTCTTTTCTGCAAGATTAGATCATAATTTTCTAGACTTATCTTCAATTTAAAATACTCGTCACGTCAGACATTAAAAGTAATAATTATTTAGTGTAGTCTGTTAACTCCTCTCTTTGTAGCTTGAAAAATGAGTAACTTAAAGTTATTACTTTTATATTTTATACCGATGTTGTGCAACGGTTATAAAATTTTGGGTTTATTTTCTCATATGGGATCGAGCCATCATTTTGTGTTTGACCCGTTATTGCGTGCCTTACACAAAAAAGGTCATGAAGTCACTGTGGTTAGTTTTTTCCCTCAGAAAACACCTTCGCCGGGATTCATCGACATCAGCCTGAAAAATACGACCAATATCGGCTTGGAAATAATAGATGTTTCTCAAAATAAAGGGTCACGTTTAATGAAATATTTAGATATAATTTTCATCGATACATTTGCTAGACAGACATGTGAAGCAAGTTTGAAGTCAGAGCAAGTGAGACAATTTATAAATAGCACTTTAGACTACGACGTAGTTATAGCAGAAGTGTTCAATTCCAATTGTTTTATGACGATCGCCGGAAAGACCAAGGCGCCGATCGTTGGAGTAAGTTCATGTTATATTCCAGTGTTTTGGAACGATATTTTTGGAAATCCGTATAATCCTTCATACATTCCCAATATTGATATGGATTACTCTGATAATATGACCTTTTTCGAAAGAGTAGAGAATCTTATCACCATAACATACACTCTTTTCTACTTTAACTTTGTAAGTAATAGTGCCGTGCAAAGTTTAGTGGATAAATATGCACCCCATGACCAGCCCATTGCAGAAGTTAGTAAAAACATAAGCCTTTTACTAGTAAACACGCATGTAACCACAGCTAGACCGAGACCTTTCGTGCCAAATATAATAGAAGTTGGCGGCATTCATCTACCTTCTTCCGTACAACAACTTCCACAGGTAAGAGTTTGATACCTCGTTTATCTACAGCCACGTGTAGATACACTTGTAATAGTTCTTTTTTTTTCTTAACGATTTATTTACACGCTATTTACTAACTATATGAGACAGAAAATATGTAACCAAAACTATAGCAAAGAAGACAGAAAATATATATACAAAACAATAGCAAATTACACACAAAACATATAGTTAAAATAGAAAAAATAGAAAAAAAAAACAAGATAAAGATTATGTACATACATATATATATATATATAAAGTCACAAGCGTGGAAAATTTCGAGCTGATTAACGCGAACACTTGGCACACAAAAATGTAGAAAATTCTGGGGTTGGTTGGCGACTAACTCCTTCGTCCTTGTCGTGGGTCGGTGGAATATGGGAGTCTTGTTGGTAGTGAGCAGCGATGCCAGGTTCAGTAGATAGAATTATCGCACTCTTTAGGAAAAATTATCCTATTAACATCAAACATATCGTACATTACTGCGCATGCGCATCGGAGTAATAGTCTAGTGGTGGGAGTATGAATTTGTAAAGAGAGTCTGTGTACCCCAGTGGTTTTCTCAGTTCTATTATACCATCATTAGATGACACTATTAAAACTTTCCTGACAGGCTAATAACTTCAAATAGAAAAATGAATTTCGGACTGAATTTTAAACATTTTGGGAGAAAATTCTTTTTTTAGAGTCCATAAACAATAAAATTTTATTGAATGTATACAAATAAACAACTTTTCAACATATATTTATATATCTATGCAACAGGTTGGCAGAAACAAATATCGTAGTCCCACTACTTATATATTACTATTTGAAAATATTTTTTTATCCCATAAGCACGAATTATCGTACGTTTAATAGAAATTTGAATTACGATATCGTACATCGTATTTGAAGCAAAATTATCGTATGTCCCCATAATCATCGTACAGGCTGGCAACGCTGGTAGTGAGGAATGCACAACTATCTATTCAAACCCCAGCACCAAGCAAGGGTTGAGAAAAGAGGGGTGGAAAGTGGGATGGTAAGCGAAGGGCGAAAAGAAACGATAAAGACGAATTTGTTTTTCAAGTTAGGTTCGCGGGAAAAAAGAAATAAAAAACTGACCGCGGAAAACGACAGGACATGCATGAAAATATAGGGTTAGAAAAATAAGCGTAAATCTACGATAAACATTAATAGAAAGAGAAAAATAATGACTGCAAAAAAAAAATAATAGACATCTAAAATAACTATATTACAGAAGGAGAAATGAATATAAGAGGGAAAATACAACCGAAGAACAGAAAAAAATAAGAATTTGTAAAATAGAAGATTTATAAAAAGAATACTTAAAGTAGTAGAGAAAAGTACATGGTTAAGTAAACGTTCGGTTGTAGCAAGGGGTTAGTCAGGTAATCGCGGGGCTCATTAGGGTGGAGAAAACCGGTCGCACGGCAAGTCGATGGCTCTTGGCATATTAATTCGGATAATAAATTTAATTGGTAATACCATATACAATACCAGTGTATGAAATGGCTTTTTGAAAAAAACATAATTGGCTGTTTTTTTTTGTATAAACTTTAAATAAACTGGAAATATGGGTAGACATGCTAATTAGTCTCGAAAGATATAGATAAAAAATTACGTTTTTACTGATAAAATAATAATTTTTAACAAGGTCACAATTACCAAAGTGCTTTTAAATCAGACATATCATATTTGTGCTTGGTATTTCCGTATACCATTAATTCTTTTTTTTTTGAGTAATTAATAATTTTTTTACAATTAGTGTCGCCTATAAAGGTATATAAATACCTTAACAAGAGGTAGGCTTAACTTGTACAATTGATTTTAAAATAAAAATCGGCACAATGCCAGGAATTTGCTCCCGTTAGCAAAAAGATTAGTAACCTTTCGTACCCTATGTGATGTCGTATAAAATCACTCGTAAGTGACATGCTGCTTTAGTTGTGTTTTTTTACTTAATGATACAAGACTACTACTAATCAACGTTTTTTTTTAACACATGGTAACAGATAAAAGTTTTCTTTGTTATTAATTTCGCAATTTTGATCAGTAGTTGACAATGTATATTGTAAAGTTGGTTCTATTGTGTGTTTTGCCGGTGTTGTGTTGTTCCTTAAAAATTTTGGGACTATTTTCGCATATGGGAAAGAGTCATCATTTTGTTTTCGAACCGTTACTGCAATCGTTAAGTAAGAAAGGACATGAAGTTACAATTGTCGGTTTCTTTCCACAAGAGAAGCACACGCCTAACTTTAGAGACATCAGCTTAGATAACACAACCACTATTGCTTTCGAAATAGTAGATTTTGAAAAATTAAGTGAATCGCGATTACGGAAATATAGGACCATACATTCGTTAGATTCTTCGGCAAGAGTTAGTTGTGAAGCAAGTTTAAAGTCGGAGCAGATAAAGAGATTTTTAAATGAAACATTGGACTATGATGTAATTTTAATAGAATTATTTAATTCGAACTGCTTTATGACAATTGCTGGCAAAGTGAAAGCTCCTATGGTGGGTCTAAGTTCGTGCACTATTCCTCCATTCTGGAACGATATTTTCGGAAATCTTTATAATCCTTCGTATATCCCAAACAACTTTATGAATTTCTCTGACAAGATGACATTTTTTGAACGATTAGAAAATTTTTTATCGATTATTTACGTCAATTTCGTCTTTAATGCCATAAGTAATGGGGCCATACAGACATTGGTGGATAAATATGCACCGCATACTGAGCCAATTGCAGAAGTTAGTAAAAATGTTAGTCTTTTATTGACAAATACTCACTGGACCACAGCTCGTCCAAGACCATTCGTTCCAAACATAATTGAAGTAGGAGGTATTCATTTACCTCCTTCGATGAAGCCACTTCCAAAGGTATGTTGTAGAAATAGTAATTATGTTCTACCTTTTTAAGCTTTCCGCTCTTTATTGCAAACAGTAATCATATTGATAACTTTCTAAGTTTACATAAAGCATTTATGAATCAAATTTTGAATTAAATTTACCGACGACAGATAACCTACATATCGTGGGTAGAAAAGGTTAGAAATGAAGAGGTATTGGAAAGAATAGGAGAACAGAGGACTCTATGGAAGTCAATAAGAAATAGGCGAGATAGATTGGTATCAGGCATGAAGGTATAGTCAGAGACATATTAGAGGCAGAAACAGGAGTTAGGAGGGGTAGAGGTAGACATAGATTAGATTACTGTTCGCAAATAGTTAAGGATGTGGGCTGTTCTAGTTTTAGGGAAATGCGAAGTTTAGCTCAGGATAGGAAAGGGTGGAGGTACGTGTCCAACCAGTCTTAGGACTGACGACCTTATGATAATGATGATGAGATAACCTACAGATTCCCGGAAAGGAAGTGACAGCAGCAACAATTTCTTCCCATTTATTGGAGGTTATCTGTAGCGGGTAAAGTTATTTGAGAAATTAACTCACTAATGCATTGAATTTAACCCTACAAAAAAATCAAAGTGTCTCTCTACAAAAAGCCTTTAGTTAATGCTGAAACTATTAACAACCACTTTAAAATCATTCCTTGAAACGATACGTTTCGTTATCTTTTAATAAGCATCTGGTTACCTACCTACTATAATTTTTAAAACGAAAATATAAAAAAAAGCATAGATACTTCTAATCTCTCTTTTAATTACATTATAAAATATTTGCGCGATACAGTTGATAACAAAATTCGCAAAATGTCTAGTTATGAAAATAATTACGAAAAGTAAACTAATACTGCCATAATTGTTAATCCCTTTTACAAACAGTTACAATTGCGGAATAGAAGGAGAAATTATAATATTTGCACAACTACTGTCTTAGCAAATAAAATTTTTTTAAATTTTATTTCATAACTCTAAAATAGCATTTGTTTAGTGAAGGTACAGCACGTGCTCTATCTAACTCGCCACTACTATTGATATACAGTTTGAATGTCTGATAAAAATGCTTCAAAATTACAACATTTCTTAAATTAGTTTTAAATTAGTTTAACTTAACTAACTTTGAATTAATTAAATTAAATTAAATTTGATCACGAAACGAAGTCCAAATGACTTTTTAATAAATGAAATGAAAAGAAATGAAAAATTGATTTGCCGATCTTATCGATTTCGTAATTTTACATCCTCTTCTTGGACATCAGAAAGCGGGAACTAAATAGTCTTTTCTGTTACGTCTTCTTTTTTGTAACAACTCGCCACCATTTTTCGAACTTTAATAGAATTATTTAATTCGAACTGCTTTATGACAATTGCTGGGAAAGTGAAAGTTCCTATGGTGGGTCTAAATTCGTGCACTATTCCTCCATTCTGGAACGATATTTTCGGAAATCTATATAGTCCTTCGTATATCTCAAACAACTTTATGAACTTCTATGACAAGATGACATTTTTGGAACGATTAGAAAATTTTTTATCGATTATTTACGTCAATTTCGTCTTTAATGCCATAAGTAACGGGGCCATACGGACATTGGTGGATAAATATGCACCGCATACTGAGCCAATTGCAGAAGTTAGTCAACATGTAAGTCTTTTATTGACAAATACTCACTGGACCACAGCTCGTCCAAGACCATTCGTTCCAAACATAATTGAAGTAGGAGGTATTCATTTACCTCCTTCAATGAAGCCACTTCCAAAGGTATGTTGTAGAAATAGTAATTTTGTTCTACCTTTTTAAGCTTTCCGCTCTTTATTGCAAACAGTAATCATATTGATAACTTTCTAAGTTTACATAAAGCATTTATAAATCAAGTTTTGAATTAAATTTACCCACTACAGATAACCTACAGATTCCCGGCGAGGATGTGACAGGAGCAACAATTTCTCCTCATTAATTTAAGGTTATCTGTAGTGGGTAAAGTTAATTCAAAAATTAACTCACTCATGCATTGAATTTAACCCTACAAAAAATTCAAAGTCTCTCTTTGCAAAAAGCCTTTAATTAATGCTGAAACTATTAACAACCAGTTT